CCGAGCTCTGCAGAAGAGCATCTACTGAACACACAACACGGCCAACCTTGAGGCGGATGGGCTACAGCAGCAGAAGAGCACACCGGGTGCCGCTCCTGTCAGCTAAGAACAGGAAACTGAGGCTACAATTCACACAGACTCACCAAAACTGGACAATAGAAGATTGGAGAAACGTTGCTGCTCTGATGAGTCTCCATTCATGAGTCACATTTGGATGCTCGGCTCAGACAACATGAAAGCATGGATCATCCTGCCTTGTATCAGCGGTTCAGGCTGGTGGTGGTGGTGTAATGGTGTGGGGGAGATTTTCTTTGGGTCCATTAGTACCAATTGAGCATCAACGCCACAGCCTACCTGAGTATTGCTGCTGACCATGTCCATCCCTTTATGAGCACAGTGTCTCCATCTTCTGATGGCTACTTCCAGCAGGATAACGCAGCATGTCATAAAGCTCAATCATCTCAGACTGCTGAACATGACGATGAGTTCACTGTACTCAAATGGCCTCCACAGTCACCAGAGCTCAATCCAATAGAGCAATAGATTGGCATCATGGATGTGCAGCCGACAAATCTGCAGCAACTGTGTGATGCTATCATGACAATATGGAGCAAAATCTCTGAGGAATATTTCCAGTAGCTTGCTGAGTCTCTGCCATGAAGGATTAAAGCAGAAATGAAGGCTAAAGGGGTCCAAGCAGGTTCTAGTAAGGTGTACCTAATAAAGTGGCCGGTGAGTGTATTAATTCTGTGGTTACAAAAACCAAACAAAATAAAAATATCCCAATATTATGCAAAACTGATAAGGATCAATTGTAAACTCTGAAAACACTAGATCATTTGTCTGTTTCTTCTCTTTTTTAATATATCCCAGTAAATAAAGGTTTAATAAATATTAGATCTTCAAAGCAACCAGAGTCTAAAGGGGCAGTTCACACAATATCAGCCCCTCACCTGCTCTACACTTCTGACACATATTTAAATGAGAATGCCTTTAATATAGTGCTGACCTGCCCCTTTAATGCAAACCCTGGAACTGAAGCAGTGAGTGAGTGTGTGTGTGTGTGTGTGTGTGTGTGTTGGCTCATGCAGCTCCTCCAGTGCATTAGTGCAGTGCATGCTGGGTAATATTGAGAGTAATATTGAGAGTTTCACTTGTGAAGTGTTGATCTTGACGTACTGGATGAAGCTGCACTGCTGACACCGGGATCTGAACCGTACCAGGAGGAGCTGTGAGAAACACCTGAGAAACTGCACCTGCACACACACACACACACACACACACACACACACACACACACACACACACACACACATTTAAAAGTGCTTCCCATAAACAGGAATAAAGGTTATATTAGTATTAAAAAAGAACTGTTCATGCTGATTTTCAAAAAGTGTGTGTGTGTGTGTGTGTGTGTATGTGTGTGTGTATTTTCACTGAACCTTATATATACACAAAACACTCAAAATCAAACAGAAAAAACGCTGAACATTTTACCTCTTAAACTTCAAAGTTTACCGTCATCTCCTGTATAAGGTACAGAAGGTCCAGCACAATTGCCTGAGTTCTGAAAGAGCAAACACATTCTTGGTAAAATTACAATAGATGCAATGCTAAATATAAATCATTGTTTATTTTTTTGGNNAAAAAATGCAGTACTGACCAGTCAACATCAATTTTTACACCAACACACCTACAACAAAAATAACACTCATTCAGTTTGAAACATGCAGCATATAGTCTACTTTTAAATTTTACAAACTTTGTAAATAATAAAAATATGAAAACATTTAAAATCCCAGGTGTATTTTATTTAATCTGTCCATATTAATTCA